CCTTGGGTTTCCACAGTGTAACTGAAGCAATCTATTAGTCACCTTTGCACATAAACTGGAAGCTAAGATTTTATTTGACTTAATTGGTTGAATTTATCTTACTACTTGATTTATGCTTACTTTGTCAGCTCGGTGCAGTCTCTGTTCACACTGATCACACTTCATCTCTAGTTCATCTTTTGTGGCTAAAGTGCCTTTGTACTTAGCCTGAAGATGGGCAATGCCGTCCTCCACTTCTCGAAGATGTTCCTTGGCTTCATCGAGGATTTTCTGTGTGGCCTGCAGATCTTCTTCAGCTTCCTTCAGGGCTTGCTATGGGAATGGAAATAATTGTAAATACCACCTAATTGCCGCTGGTTCTCAAACACTTTTGAAGAAGATTGCAAAGCACAGATGATAGCAGAGGTATCTAGTATGTGATTTTGAAAAAGCACGGCAAGAATTCTTACCCGCTTTGGCTCCACAGCTTTTGCCACGAAGTGGTACTTATGCATAGCCCTGACCCATTGGCAGATGGAGGTGCAGGCTTTGGAGACTTTAGCTACAACTGCTGGCTGAAATTCTTCACTGTCAATATACGGTTGGATGAACTTGATGACTGTATCTGCAATATTATCCTGAAATGATTTTTTAAAAAAATCCTTTTGAATGCTGGGAGGAGGAAGACATGAATGGTCAGGAGAAACAGTGCAAGGTTTCATGGTAAAAATATGTTAGCTGTATCAGAGGAACCTTACAGTTTGTTGTATTATTCCTTTCCACTTGAAGCCAAGCTAAGGTAATAGTTCCTAACACATAGTCACAAAGTTATAATCATGCATTATGTAATAAAATCATAGTAATAAGGAAGGGATCTTGGAGGTCTTCTAGCCCAGCTCTCTAAACCAGAACAGGAATCCTAAGACTATTCCAAACAAATTGTCCAGGTTTAGCCTGAAAACCTCCAGTAATGGAGCACCCATGATTCCAGGCTGCAGGCTGTAGGCTGTTCCAACTGGGTAGGTTTAAACAGACTGTATCATAAGCCATACATACGAAACTACATTTGTTAAGCATAAACAAGCAAACTATAATTTCTTCGGTTGAGTGGACTATATAGCATATGACCACGAGAAAATAATACAGTGAAACTTCTGCATCTCTGCAAAAGTATCAAGTAGAAGGTTGTGTCCTGGAAGAGAGGCATTTCAACTTGAATTCCAATCTCAATTGGAAAAAACCCCCAAGGATTTGTAACTCTTACTCCCCCCTTTTTGGGGAGGGGGTGTTTAGCAATGTGAGTTCTTGATTCCCACAGATTTTGCTGGTATTTTTATTTGGGGTAATTAACAATAGTCATCCATATATAAAAGGCACAGGGTAAAAAAAAAAAAAGTAACACACATACATACAAATTGACCATTTTAAGTTCCACAGTTACCCAGATGCTTAAAGTTACCAAAATGTGTTTTTTTTAAACACAACTTAGCTCTTCTGATTATAACAATAGCTCCATCTACAGACATCAGGAGGTAGTATGGATTGTTAACAATTGCCATGAAAGGCTCCACCTGCTGTTTCTTGCAGATTAAGCTGCTGTTAAAAGGACACCAGCAATTTTAGCAACCTTTTATCTGGGACAAAAAATATACTGTTGGTCTCTGTAAAGAAAGAGAAGACCCTAGAAACCAAACTGTGTGTCTCTGTGGGTAAGATTAAAATTAAAACTTTCAAATACCTACCTTATCGTATTTAAATAAACTTTCAAGAAATTTCCCCGGGTCCTGAAGAAGACCTTTGCCAGGTTCCCAGTAGTCATCTATCTTAGTACCTGGCTTCTCGCCTGCTATTTTTTTGGGCTTGACTCCCTTCATTATACAAACAGCTTCAATCACCAATTTCACTCCAAGTGGAGGGCGCTGCATTGCTCGCACCTAATTGGAAATATTTTACAATGAAATATTTTAAAAAGCAGTTCAGAATAATGTCCTGCTATCTGTAGAGGATTGGTAATTATCCCCAACTCAATTAAACAATGATAGAAAGAGTTATTTTTGCCCAAGAATTAGTGATTGGTCTTTAATATCAGTCTAAATGCATACCTTACATATGAATAGTGCTAATTATACGGTCTGCAAACAGTGATGAAAAGATTAATCCCTGCCTCAAGAGATTTATAACTTAGAAATAAATGAAGACCACAGAGAAAAGGAGGCAAAATTGCTTAGCTATATAATTTCTGTTTTTAAAATCTGTTTTAAATAATGTACAAAAATGTATTGCCAAAAAGGAGTGTCTATACAGTGAATATAATGCTTGAAATAAAGTGCCAAAAGGAGAACAATTAACAGAAAAAAGATCAATTAACCCAATTAAACTAAGATCTTATAGACTATATTGTGTAATTTTCTCATTTTTAGAACATAGACCTTCAAAAACAGATGACAAACTCATATTCATATTAAAATCAGGAGAATATTTTTCTAATTATGTAGAATTATCCATTTTACCACATCCCAGCATTGGTAAAACCAAAGTTCTTCAAGGAAATGAGAAATTTCATGTTTTAGGGTTATAATTTATTATCACTTTGAGATCTTTATCTATGATATATGTAGCAATTTTAAGCCAAAGATAAACTGTAATAAAACAGACCAAGTTATATGTGTTAAAGATTATTCAGATTTCCTATAGTGCCAACATGAGAAATCTAATGTTCACTCCTTTGAGAAAAATTATATTAAGTAGAGTCCAGTCATCACGTGGACATTTTAGACAGTTTAAAGTATAAAGGCAGAAAGAAAAAGATAAATGGAGAAGTTAGAAACCATTTGGATGTCTGAAGTCATTGCAATGGTGCAAACAGATTCTTAGAAGAGATGCCTTGTTGTAGATTATATGAATTGATGTTAACTTGGGAGAGAGATGATGATAAATTCTGTCTTGGATATACAAAGTTTGAACCAAAATAAAGCATCTGAATGCAAATATCAGAAAGGCAAATGTGAGATTAGATCAGGGGTGGGAAACCTTGGCTCTTTTACGACTTGTGGACTTCAACTCCCAGAATTCCTGAGCTAGCCATGCTGGTTCAGGAATTCTGGGAGTTGAAGTCCACAAGTCATAAAAGAGCCAAGGTTCCCCACCCCTGGATTAGATGAATGAAGCAAGTTTTAGCTAAATGAGCCTAATTCAGTATCTTTGCAATATTACAAAAGTAATATTTTTGCCCCATAATATACCTGTGGTTCTTTTATAGTCAGACTGAAATGCTGCTTGCTTAAGTTTGATACAGAGAGTAAGACAAGTTTCCCCCTTATAACTAGGGAAAATGAAATTAAAATTTCAGGAGTACAATTTTCTTGCAAGAAGACTATTGTTTTAAAAGCCAAACCGGTAAATTGCAACTATATAACAAGTAAAAGGACAAAATGTTCTTCTTTGATATGCTGATTTCATATTTGCAGGTAATCAATGTTGGATTTACACTGCGTGAGAAAAGAACATTTGTGACTGAAATTGTTAATTTAGATTACCAGTAGGGGTGCACATATGTATCAGTCACACAAGGTCAATTTGTGTCTTTTTTATTAAGGCCTGGCTATGTTTAGTAAGATTAATGTTCAAATCAAGGTGCAAGTGTAAGCATAGGCTCACCTAGATAAAACTATCTAAATGATAATAGAAAGATGTGTCCAGCATTTGTCAGTAGTTACTAAGTGATGTGCATTTGTATAAAACACAGGGAATATAATTCTGATATTTTGAATGCAAATAGTACTTTCTACCTAGTGACTTAAGCATTGCAGCATTAAGTCCTAAACACATTAAAATTGTGTTCCAATAGGAGAGACAGAGATAGACAATTTATCGATGTGGAATATTAGGGTTGTTGTAACTGGAATCAGTGTGACTGAGCTCAAAAGTGTGTAGAATTCCTGCATCTTTTAGAGGCATGTGGAAGAGAAAATGTTCAGCATGATAGGTTTCATCTGTAGAAAGTCTCTCCTATGCACAAGAGTAGAAGCCTTTTACTTTTGCTATCTGTTTACCCTAAGTGAAGTAGGATGTAAGAAAAAGATTAAGTAGACTTCAGCCTTGATAGAGGAATAAGATACTGGACTGAAACCTGGTTGCCATTTTTTTCAGATGACATTTATAGCTAACTTAAGCAAGGACAATTTGGCAGAGTAAAAAACAAAAAAGAACAAACCAGGCACGACAGCACTATATGTCAGGTAAAAGCTTTATCTTAATCAGTTGAGTTATATTAGCAGAAGCAAGCCTACAGACCAGAAATACAGTATATGATCCTGTTTTATTTTTCGGATTGATTAACTAGTCGTGATGGTGCTCTGCAATTTTATACAATGTGCCTAAGAACTGCAATTTGTGTTTTAAAAAGAAAGTAATAACCTAAATGTTGTGGTTAGAGAGGCAAGATTGAAAGGGATTTAAAAAGGGATCTCAATGTGCTATCTGTATTTTTGCTATTATTATGTCTACTTGGTATAGGAAGAAGATTGTAATTGGAAAATATTATGGGTGACTGTTTTATATCACAATATCTGAGTTGTTACTGGAATTAACATGCAAAGAAGCCTCATTTTCTATTCTGCTTGTAAGAGCTATATTTCCTAAACATTCCTCCTCCAATTTTTAGGCTAAGGTCAAGAGAAAAAAAGAGCTGGAAGTAGGTATAATGTAAATGGATGTACATTAATGGATAGTACAAACATTTGCATAAGACTCTGGAATTTGACCCGGCTCATTGGAAACCTTACTTAGCCAATCTCTGGTTTCTAAGATGAATGAGAAAATTGTCCATATTTTCAAAGACTAATTTATTGTTTATATAATGCAACAACCCCCCCCGAGTATTTTGATATTTTCTGGTCAGATTTCTATTAGAGGTGATAAGTGCTATAATTGCCCAGCTATATTGTAGATGTAACACATACTCTTTATCATATGAAACAAACTTTGTATATTTCTCTCAGGGTTAGAGGAACAATCCAAACATGTTCACACGGAGACGCTCCAGAACTTTCCTGATGGAGACCATTGACAGAGGAACAGAGTTTGTAGAGGTCTTAAAAACTATCTATCCCAAGGCAACTACTCTTCATGAGAAGGACTTTGACTGGCTCTTTGACTGCCCCGAGACAGAGCAATTTCTGGAATGGTTCTGCAACACAGTGGGAGAAGAGAATGTGCTGAATCCTACAGAACTAGAGACCTTTGAGAAACTGGTAATTTCTGGGAAGCCCATCTTAGAAGACGAAGCATTGGAGGAAGTGTTGAGAACCTGTAGCCAGTCTTTTCAGTTGAACAGTGAACTACAAGAAAATGAAACCCTACCCCTTGAGTTATTTGAACAAGAGATACAGATGCTGAAGAATCAATATGCATGTCGAATAACGCGATGTAACAAGCTTCAGATTTATGTAGCCAGTTTAAACCAAAAGCTCTGCCATTTAGCAGACAAAAAAGAAAGATTAAACAGAGAACTAGAGAAGGTGCACCTAAAGGTTGAGCTACAGAATTTTCAAAGCAACAATATCCTCAGTGAGGTTTGTCAGATAACAGAGAAGTTAGCACATTGGCATAAGGAACCTGGGTATGAGCAACTAACTTTGTCAAGAGATCTAGGGCATTATCTGGAAACAGAAGAAAATTTCACAAAAGCTTTTTTGAGTTTGTTTCCAAATGTTGTGACAAGTATCAGTGATATGGAGACTGATCAAACAGCTTTTGAAAAAAAGGGGGAAAGAGATATTACAGAACAGCCAACTTCAGAATCTGTAGTTAAACTAGCTCAACAACTGCAACTAGAAGACAAGAGCTTAGTTTATACTGATAATCCTGATAATCACAAAATAACCTTGGAAATTTTGAAGAAACAAATTCTCCATCAAGAGCAACTGCCCAGCAAGAATAAGCCAGAATTTAAACAGAAAGACTTACTAGAAAAAACAGATCAACCAAAAGTCGATTATTTCAAGAGTGAAGACCTACCTATTCAGGATTTCTTTCAAAAAGGGCTGAAGACACAGACAGAAATTGGCCAAACAAAGCATCTTAAAAACATGGGAAATTATAGGGAAGAACTGGGACACATGGAGTTAACATACATGTGGAGCAAAACAATTACAGCCATGACCACGGCAAGAATTAAAGGACTTTCATCCACCTTGCAATGGGCAGAAAAAGTTTTAAAAGTAACTAAGGAGAACAAGGTAGGTTAAGGCTTCAGGTTTCAGTAAACATTCCCTTCCTTTCCTTTCCTTTTTTTTTTGTATTGATCCTATTTGGTCAGTTACTCTACTTAACATAAGGAGCAGACCAAAAGTCAATCTGTTCTAACTTTTCATTTCTGTAATGGCCATTCAGATGCCTATGAAAAGCCCACAGCAAGACAGAAGTGCAATAACACTGTTTTGCCCTGCCACTCTAGCAGCTGCTATTAATAATCAAGCTGTATTTGATGTGTTTTACCATTATTGTTAGTGGCTATCAACTACCTTATTATGCATGAATTTATGTAATTATTTTAAAGTTGTAGTGGCTGTTGCTACATATTTTGACACAAATGCCAGTTTATTAGTAAAAACACTTTATATGTCTTGAATGTTATCTTACCTATGTTGAAAAAAGCAAGACCTACTTTCAGCCTACTTTTAAAAATCATGGCTAATTTTATATATGTCTCTCACGTGCCTATTTTTCTATGCCAAAACCTTCTCTGCAATCACTTTATTACCCTGTAATGTTCCTTCAGCCAATTCATACCTAGCAACATTTCTGGTTTAATGTTTTTTAAAAAAATATTATTATTGGCTGTAATGTGATTCACAATATACCCAAAATCATTTTGAATCTTTTATTGCTTACTTGTATTTTAGTGATATTTTTTTTACATATTCTTCAGGACATTAATCCTTCTTTTCTCCACTAACTTCCTTAACATTTCTTGTTAGCTTCTCAGGTGATCTCTTAAATTTTGCTGTAGTTCTCCTGACATATGCTGTGCATGCTAACTAAATTTTCATTATTCTTTGCAGCAACCCCCAACTGTTAGAAAAAAGATCTAAACCTCCTGATGTTTTATTTCAATTTCCTTCTGCATTTTTAAATGCTTCTTTTTCTTAAGTCAATTGAGACTATGTTGAATGTTCTTGGCAATTTTCCATTTACAAATAAATTGTTTTAAGGTCAGAAATTTGAGATGTACAGGGAGCATCTTGCTGTAATTCCCAAGAGGGTTTTTTTATTAGATTCTCAAGCTGTTTTTCCAAACCATAAATTTTACTTTGTGTAATCTTTTTGGAGGGTATCAGAATATATATTTGTACTTAGCAGTAAAACTGATAGAAAAATGTGAAGCCAATATCTTTGCCTGTAAAGAATTTAATACTTTGCTGTTTTCCAGGTGAAGGAAGAGAAGGGTGAGTTAAGTTTTCATGTGACTAGATGCCAGGAACAGTTATGCATTCTCCAAACTGAGGTAAATGGAAAGACCCAATTGCTTGTGTCCTTGCTTCAAGGCATTGCCCGCCTTTTTCGTTTGCCTATAACAAATGGAGAACTAGACATGGAAGACATGAGACTTGAGTATCTTGAACGGGTACAAGAGGAAGCTATTGACCAGATATTGGGGCAGCTCAGCCACTTTGAGATGCTGAAACTCTTGCTGATGTTGAAGAAAAATAATCTGCAATGGACTGGAAATAAACTGGAGGGACTGATGACTGTCCTGAAAGACTCTGAGTCTCAGTTACAAGAATGGCAATCCTGCTTTGAGGATTCAAGATTCTCCATTAAGCAATGTCCACGGATTTTGATAGATCCTAGTGACCTCACTACTTTACGGTAAAGAATGGTGGCGGAATGGCAGTGGAACTTTACTGAATCACAAGTGCTTAATAATTACTAGAAATGAAGGTTGGCTTGGCTTAGCTTGGATTGTTTTGCAAAATTAGATAATATTTGACTAAATCTGAAACAGCATCCCAGAGAACAATTTTATCCCTTTTATGGAACAGAATTTAATGGGAAGAAAGAGAATGTTGAAGCAGAATGGGGGAAAAGGAAGGGTTTCTATAGAATACAATATTTAGAATAGTCACATCAGTAACACTAACTCTTTGTATTTTAGAAAAATACTGGAACTGTCTTAGATTTTAATTAGAAGACTGTTCAGAGAATCTGAATTTTTTCAAAATCTTATGACAGGAATAAATGGACTTAAGGTTTGGTAGCAACTCTACCGTATTTAGCACATATGGTCATGATGATATATAATTATCTCCCTACTCTTTATATTAAATATTCTTTGAATTAAAATCTAAACCCTCTAATTTTGAGGGCCCTTTTCTCTCTTAGGTTGTGGGAGATGCTGGACAAACACAATAAAGAGAAACAACTTTTTCGTTCGTATGAGACTTTGGCAAGCAGGGGTTCAAGATTGTGCCAGGAACTCAGAATGCTTCAAATACAGCTAGCCACCCCATTTCCTCAGTTTCTCAAACTAGAATCTGAAAACAAGGCACTGTACTGTTTGATATATGATGACTCCAACCAGTTAATGCTTCATGCTCAGGTATGCAATGGTCTTTGTCCTTTATATGTTAAGTTCTGTTCTTCTACTATGTTATTGCTATATATCAGTGTTTCCCAAACTTGACCATTTTAAGGCATGTGGACTTCAACTCCCAGAATTCCACAGCCAGCAATGCTGGCTGTGGAATTCTGGGAGTTGAAGTCCACATGCCTTAAAATGGTCAAGTTTGGGAAACACTGATATATATGTACAGGCAGGGCTTTTTTTCTCATAGAACGCCCAGAAAGGAGTTCCGGCACCTTTTTTGGATGGAACCTTATAGGGTAGGCAAGGTGGGTTGTATGACGTGTGTGAGTTCCGGCACCTTTTTTTTTTTTTTTTTTAGAAAAAAAGCACTGTGTACAGGCATCCTAGAATACCTAAGAAAACAATCAGTCTATCCTACCATAATTACGTTTTCTCCCTTTGAGATTCTAACTGAAATTTGGATAGCAAGCCCCCTTCCAGGTGAATTGAACAAATCACATGCTGCTTTTTGCACACTTGTTTTGACCATCTTCTTTACAGGGATTGTCAGAACCTCTGGAGCAACTTAGCGTCACACAAGCTAAAATCTATCAAATTCTAATGGATACCCTGACTGACTTAAAGGCCAAACGCAAATCTCTGCAGAGCCACTTCAAGAAGACGGAGCGCAACCTCTACAGATACTTCTTCAGCAACCCAGACCATCTGAAGAAGATGGTACGAAAAGTTGAAAAGCAGGCACTGGTATCTTCGTGTGCATAAGGGAGCCATCAGCGGACAACAAAAGAAGAAGATCTTGCTCCAAAGTGCTCTCATGTAAATTCTGCCTTCACTGAACGAAAGGCTCCCAAGAGAAGCATTCTGGCATTGTTAGCAGGGTAGAATTTCATCTTCTTCCCATCTCCTCTCTGAAGGAACACATTCATGTCTATTAAGTTGGAGGCCCTTTTCTGGGAGTTGATTTGAAAAAATGTCTCCATTACCATAAATCACCTGGGAAATATTGTACAATATAAGGCTTCCGTGTATAATGTTCTTCTTTTTTGGATTCTTACTATGCTACAGTATAGTATAGTAGAATATACACGTAGTATGTGTGTGTGTGTGTATGGGGGGGATTCTTCTGAATTTGAGCCATGTGGTGGATGTTGCAGAGAAATTGAGAGGAGGTACATAAAACTATAAATATTTCTAAGAACTGACATAAAATATGTGTAAGAATTGGTATTATCAACATACTCTATCTCTCCTTTGATACTTTTTCCATTTTAATTTTTTACTTCAAAAAGCTGCAAGTGAATTCAAAGACTAGTGTGTTTTCTTAGCTCTCAAGAAGGCCAAATTCAATTATTTCCCCCCATTCATGTTGTTGTCTTTTTAAATTCAGTCCTCTTAAATACATTTCTGCATATATTACTTGTGTTGGAAAGGACCTACTGAAATCTATCAATAAAAATTGTGCCTTAATTATTTGTTAATTTTCATAGTTTAAATAAAGTAGTGATATAGGTGAGCCAGTCCTGAATGTAATTATCAACTGTGAGTCCATATGTGTAATTCTAAACAAAACTGTAATCTCATACAAGCCCAAACAAAGATAGTGAGTAGAAAATATGATAATGAATAAAATTTGGCTAGAGATCCAATTGTCCCATAGATTAAATAAGCCTTTAATCTTGGATTAAAACAGTATTTAGCATGTATATTTGGTATGGGCTTATTGCACACTATGTTTTTCCTAACAACAATCCTGTGAAGTAATTTGGGCTGACTGGCCTAAAATCACCATATGAACTTCCATGGCAGGAGCTAGGTCTCCCCACTCCTAATCCAAGAACTGAATGACTGTATCACATTGACTCAAAATTGGTACAAAATCCAGCTTCATTCAGTGGGGAATAACTGACTGATCTTGGCTGCTATTTCCAGTTCCTGGGTCACTACATTCAAAAGCCTGGGAACGAAAAAGCCTATGGATCAGCATCCTGTCCAGGGAAGAAGGAAACAAAGTGTTGACTAGGTAGTTCCTTCAAATCTTGAAACTGCTATGGTGTGACACTGAAAAGTCATAAGGGCCCTGGACAGCATATGGTCTAACTTATATGCTTCAGGAAGTGCAACTAGTAGAGGAGTTTAAGGACCTTCAGACTGGGTACCATAATGCCGTCTATTAGGGGTACATATACCATTGAGATACTCCACTGTATCCTACAGACTGAGATACCCCAAAAATGCTTACATCAAATTTGTGCTAAAATCTATCCCCTTCCCTTTCTGTTTATTACCTCAGTAACATCATTTTTGTTGAGATTCCTCAAGCTTGCCAGGGCAGCATCCAGAGCAGGGAGGGCTTCTGCTAGGTCCTTCTGTGCATCATCAGCAATAGCCTGAGCGGTTTGAGCTTTTACTTTAGCTTTCATTTCTTCTGCTTGTACAGCATTTCTTGTCTCTTCTGCTACAGCTGTGTCTACCTGCAATAACACATGTTTAGGATTGCGCACAATCTCTCTCTTTCACCTCACTCAAATTTTCATTGGAGAATGTAGCTAAATTGGTTACCTACACCATTATAGTCATTGTAAATACTTTTTAACTGTGTAGTTTGTAAAATATTTGGAATCTATATATTATGGTTGATGGACTCCAAGCTGCATCATCTCTGCTTGGCTAGAAATGATGAGGATCTAAGAACTGGGGAACCTAAAAGTTTTCAAATCCTGTTATGTAGTAGCAATATTTTATTGATGTGCATTAATAACTATGCTGAAGACAAATGTACAAATAAATTCCCTGTAAATTTGCCTTTAGGGTTCAGTTGATCTTTAAGACCTATGAGCAATGTTTTTATTTAAATGCACATGTAATAAAAATACAGGCAATATTAAAAGCATGCATATGCACTTCTTTTGAGAACAAAAAATTACTATCAATCTAACTCAATAGTCTAACAATGTTAGCCTTATTGTCCTTATTTTCTGGAAGATTATAATTTAGATATATAATTAAGATGCAGCTATTTAATAAAAAGTTGTTTTGTTGATAGTGAACAGAACTGATGAAGATGCAGTTGTGATCAAAATTTTAAACTTAATGGGATTCCAAAATGTGCAACATAAAATTATTATTAAGGGAACGAAACTTATTTATTTAGTTTATGGCTATGGTACATTAGCCAGGAGACTACAGTGTTAACACAAAGTAACGCTTGTGTGCTATCCAGAAGTGCATAATATAGAACGAACTACCCCTAGATTCAGAATGACATCCTGGGCTTTTTCCCGCCATAGATGTTGCTTCGTATTTGGGCATCACATTCAGGAAGGTCTAGCACCGATCGGGTTCATACTTCCACATGAAGCAATATTATTTTTCCCACCAAAGTGGTATCTATTCATCTGCTTAAAGTTGGCAGAAACCGATGTAAGTGATGGGACCCCATTACATGGTGCTAGGACTCAAACCGCTGGAGGACAGACCTTCTCTAGCCTCTTTAAGCGTGTGACTCACTGCGCCTCTGGGAATCAAACTAAAGGAACAAAACACAAAATAGCCCACTGAGGATGGAACGTGATCAGTGGCCACAAAGTATAGCACAATCTTCCCTAACCTTGTGCCCCTCAGAGATTGGAAAAAAAAAAATCTCAACCCTTGCAATTGTCAACCAGAAAGTATTGGGAGAACTGAATTCCAAGTTACTTGGAGAGCATCAAAATGAGCAAAAGATGCTGTTGGAAGGACAGTTGAAAAGACAAATGGAAGGGCACAGAGAGTAAAATGTCTTTTCTTGAAGGGCACAAAAGGCTACTGAATGACCTATTTGTGAAAAATGAATTCCAACATTTCTAAAGGAATACATGTAAATTCCAAATTCCTGGCTGTATGAAAAATCACTTTTTAGGAACATGGCTTAAAGAATATATTTTTACTTGAGAAGCAACTTACATTTTGAACTGTTTGGGTACTAAAGCAAAAAGCATGTAAAATATTTTGTCATCTCTGTAAGAAAATATAAATGGCACTCTTCCCTTGTATAATAATAGCAACAGTAAACAAGATTTTGTGGTTATTTAATCACATTCAACTTGTACTTCCCTACTATAACTGCAGGCCAGGCCCTAGGCAAAAGCAACAAAGGTACGCAATGTAAATGCTTTCTTCAACATAGGAAAAATAAGATTTAGCATTTGTACATAATATAATGTTTATCTGCATTCATTGCTTCTGAAGATACATTGCAGAGCATGTAGTACCTGTATTTGTTCCATGGTCACGAGGGTGTCTTTGGCAGCCTCTGCCAGCAGGGGGCGAGCTAATTCTAGCTCTTCTTGCATTTTTGCTACATCATCTGCTGTTCGTAAAAGCTGGAGGGAAAGAAAACTATATATAAAATCCATCAAGGTGAATCTCAAAAGAAGAGAAGAATGTTGTGATCATATCTGAAAGCATTTAAGTGGGATAGAAATTATTTTCTCTTGTATCCTGAGTGTGTCAGTACACTACATGAACCAAACAGCCTAGTAGATCTGATATGGGTAACTTGTAGGTTCTCTAATTAAGGCAGTCTCCTGATAGTTTGCTCAGAATAATGTGTGCATGCTTGTCATCAAGGTCTTTCAGACATAAAATTCTTAATCACAATTAAGTCAGAATAAGTATTGGTGCAATTTTGAGCATATGGTTAACTATGCCATGAATTAAATGGTAAATATAGATATTTAACTTTGGTTTGACTCTGTCAGTTGTAGTTATTTTTTAGTTTAAAGTTGTCAATGTTCGCCTTTTCCATGGTTTCATTATACTGTGCCATGTTTCTTATCATCTTTAACTTTCTCTGAAAGTAGTTTATTTATGAAATGTCTAAGTTTACTTTAAAAACGAACAGAATCCATCAGTACCAATAATAGCATTTTGACATTAGTTAAATTTAAGGTCTCAGTGACATCACTTGGATAATTTAGTCAGATTTAATGAACTGTCACTGATTTTATTGGGAACTAGGTTCAGTAACTTAAGCTAGATCCAGTCTTTGGAAAATACTTCCTCCCCCCCCCCCCAAAAAAAACCCCAGAAAAATGTTAGGCCAGCTTTATTCAGGAAAAGATAGCAACCAAATGTGTAGCTTTTGTCTGTGTATACATACAAACACATGAAAAGAGAATGAATGTCTGCTTATATCCAACATAAATGTGTTAGCAGTTATGGTGAATCTGGGGAGGAGGTGGTAATTTTGGTGTAGTAAAACATTCTGTAACATTGGGTCCAATTTTAAAGTAATATCAAAAGTTGCTTTAAGACCTTCCAATACAGGAATCATTGCCACAATCCATTATGTGAAGTTCCTCTAAAAAGAGGGAGAAAGTCAATGCAAATGTTTTTGAGTCCCACCTTATCCAATCCACTCTTCATCCTGTTCTTGGCAACTTTGAGCTCCTGTTTCTTTGTCCCTATCAAACCGATGAAGATACCAAGCAGCTCCAAATAGCTTTTGGGAGTGACATAGTTATGTCTTGCCAATTCTGCCAGATACGCCTTGCATTTAACTGCAACACTCTGATGAATCTCCACACACATTTGAATCTACAGTATAGAAAAACACTTTTAAGAAACTTCAAGCACTTTTTAACAAAGTAGGTATTCTAATCAAATGAGATGATTTATGAAATCCATATTTTAGGTAAATATCAAGTAGAACGTGAAAAATGGTGCACATTCCAACTACCAAAGGAAACTAAATTCTAATGACTATCTTTGATTACCAATTAGCTGCTAAACTTTACAACATTTTTAACAGAATGCCAAATTTGTTCTAAGAGAGATACTTGCCATTCCTTCTAAAACTTCAGGAGTAAAC